CATATTGAATCATCTGTCCCAGGTTATCAACATGTTGTGTTATGTGAACTTAATGTTTCCTCACTGCTAGAGGATGTCCTTGTCATTCTGGTTAGGGTCTTTATCAGAAAACCAATGAGTCTGTCTCAGTCTCACCCCATCTCCTCCCTTCTTCTTTGCATCTGTTTCGTGATCTAAGCTTATGACGTTGGACTTAAGTAGCAGGAGAGATAAATCAGGATGCAAAGATCCTCTTGTCTGCTGTGGAAAAGGCAACCGGACGACTTACAGGGACAGCATTCAGCTCCGTGAGTTATTAACTCGTGGTAAGTTTGAGTACAATAATTACTAACTAAAGGGTGTTAGAGGGCTTATCTGGCTGTAAAACAAAGACACACAGGAAGAGAACACTCTGGGCTTGTGGGCTTGAGCTGAGGCTAGGGGTGAACATGGGACAGAACACACCCAAACCTCTTTATAATGTTTTGTGACAGACTAGTACGTGAATTGTGGTTATTACCTGTTCACTGCAAACCTTGATTACTGAATTCGTTCACAAGGAACCTAGAGCGACCCTCCCTGTTTGTGGCTTCCTGGCAAACAGTTTTCTGGGAAAGGATGGATCTTGGGCATTACACAACCACAACACAAATAGTTCTTTACTCCCAGGATGAACTTGAGGCTGACGGGAGTGTGAGGATAAAGAGAAAGCAACATGGGGTGACCGCAGGGCAGTGTGGGTGGCGTTGCCTTGTCCCTCTGAGGTTGAAATGTTTGTTTGCTCTATTCTGAAGCAAGGAACATGGTGGATTGTCTTTTGGTGGCCTTGCCTTGCTTCTTTCTTAGAGCGTCAACTTATTTGATTCTCTCTGTCCCAGAGAAGCCCTGGTAACATTTATGGGCCCAGCCTATCAGTGGAAGAAATGGCAGTGCCCATGTCTCTATCCCCCTTTCAGTTCAGTGACCATGAGTCTGTCCAAAGATATATATATATATATATATATATATATATATATATATATATATATATATATATATCTTTTCTGAGGAGGAAGGGATCCGGAGGTCTTGGGCACTGGAGCAGCATCAGAAAGCCTGTGCCAATCCTTCCTCAACTGCTTTTTCTTGGTGAGATCTAACAAAGGATTGTCCTCTATAATTCTTCCGAGTTTAGCATTGCTCCACTGGGTTTAATGTGACATATCCGCAGGTAGCTAACACACTGTGCCTCAACACACCACTTTGCCACATCTATTTTTTTTCCTACGGAAGAGTGTTTTGTAATCTGAGAAACAGGAAGAAGAATGAGCACTGCATTAAACACAGGAAAGCAGGCTCTCTCACAAAATAATGGTTTCCTTGACACTTGGAGAGACACAAGTATAAACTAAAGCCACGTATGCTGCACATCCAGCTTTAAGGCAGAAGGGAAGCACACATTTCCCAGGAAGCACAGCCAGGATGAGCTTAGTTTTTGGAGATGTCTGTAGTCAACGGGATTCTATTCCAAGGAAAGAAAGAGTTGTATTCATCTTGGTCTTTCCAAAGGCTTTGCAGAGACCTAATGGGTAATTGTGACAGAAACTCTGTAAGGACCAGTCAGATTCTCAACTATTCTGAACTGCAGCATCCACATGAAGCTCATAGAGCAGGAGTCATTCAGAGAGCAAACACCAAGGTGCAGGCTCATGACTACCATCTAAGTCTGCAAGGAGTCCTTGTTTTTGCTTTTTATTATTTTTAATTCTATGTATGTATGTATTATGTGAGTGTGTATGTGTGTGTGTGTGTGTATACCTGTGAGTATGTGCTTTTTGATGCATGTGTTCATGCATTGCTTTCTTTTATGTTACATTTGTTTAACTCTGAGAAGCTGTGTTTCTTTGCTTGTCTAAAATACCTGATTGGTCTAATAAAGAGCTGAACAGCCAATAGTGAAACAGGAGAAAGGGTAGTCAGGGCTGGGAGGCAGAGAGGATAAATAGGAGGAGAAAACTGGGTAGAGGAATGGAGGAGCGAGAAAAGAAGGCAAGGAGGAAAGTAGGGGTCAGCTCCCCAACTACACAGCCAGCCACGAAGTAAGAAGTGAAGAAAAGGCATACAGAAATAGAGAAAGAAATAGAGAAAGTCCAGGGGCAAAAGGTGGACAGGATATTTTAAGTTAAGAAAAACTGGCAAGAAGCAAGTTAGGTTAAGGCCAGGCATTCATAAGAAAGAATAAGACTCCATGAATTTATTTGGGAGCTGGATGGCAGGCTCCCAAGAAAAAAGAGTTAAACAACCAATTGCAAACCATAGGTCTATTCACATGGCTTTCTTGGCTTCCTAAATTGGCTTCTTTACTGTTAGATACAATACTTTTATTATCTTCTTTAATTTTCTTTGATTCATTTTATGGAGGGGGTCCCAGAAAGAAGTATGAAACTTAAAGAACACATAGCTAGTTTTGTGAAGCAGGACTTTTAATCTACACGTCCTAAAGAACTCATTCTTTCTGCTGTTGCTTTCAGAGGGTGATTTGATCCATGGAATTAACTCTAATCCATTGTATTTTGAACTCTGTCTCCAATATAATAGTTTCCAAATAAAATATAAAATGCTCATTAATTTGGAATCTCTGATAACATTTTAAATATATTTACACTTAAAATTTGTTACTTCTCTAGCAATTTCAAGTCTAATAGATTCTCCTGATTGGGGTAAAGGATTCATGATTTATTACTATTCTGAAAGAACTTGAAAGTCCGAGAGTCTGATCTGAGATCAATTCTCTAGTTTTCCCCTGTGGCTTTGGCACAGCTGTGATGTGTCAGTTACTGGTCACACATGCTGAGAGCCATGCTGCCCTTGGCTGACTGCCCACCACGCCTCCTGGATTTCCAACCACACTTTGGAGAGGCACAGACCTTGCCTGTTGACAGAGGTAGAGAAGGCCCCATTGCACAAGAATTAGACTCAGTAATCAGAAGAACCGGTGCTGCTCTCCCTAAAGCCACTGAGGGCATTGTGAGGTGGGGCCAGCTACTGTTTTCTCTGTGGCCTGATGGAAAACTCATGAGTCAGATCTCATTGCTCACAGTCAAGGACTTTCCCTGAATCCTTCACTAATTTATGCACCCACTCAATAAACACGGCCCCTATACCAAACCCACTTGAGTGCCAACACCTCTTGTAGGCATGGAGGCTACAGAAATGACCCCGAGCTGAAAAGGTGGGCACACGAAGGACATTCCAGTAGGGGTAAAGACAAAGGGAAGAACAGTAAGACAAGGAAGTCAAGTTCATCCTGGGCACTGTTTACAGATTGACTGCTGTTTTCCTACTGAACAGTTTGAGAACTGGAAGGCAAGCATGGTAACCATGATAGGACAAAGAAATAAGGGCAGAGAGTCTTGAATGTTCAAAGAGAAGATTAGGTAGGTATAACATTAGAGGGCACCCCAGTGAGGTAGGGATGAGTGGAGAAAACAACCCAGGATAAAGGTCGACAGGGCCAGGGCCATCCTAAGAGCCTCACCGTAATCTGCACTAGGCTAATTATGGCACCGTCTGCAAAGGAGTTCCCATGAACTAGGTCATGGGAAGAACCGCCTCAGAGGAGGCGGTTAAGACTAGCTGTGAGTTTCTTCCTTTCCAAGGGAAACTTTCTTGAATGTTGAGAAAGAAAAAGAATTTAAAAAACAACCCATATGTTAAAACTTGTAAAATATAAAATTTCTTATATATTTCATTTTATGTGTATGGGTGTTTTGCTTGCACGTATGTCTGTGTTCTACATGTGTGTCTGCTGCCTTTAGAGGGCAGACAAGGATGCTAGAATTCCTGAAACTGGAGTTATAGATGGTTGTAAGCTGCCATGGGGATGCTGGGAACTGAACCCTGGTCCTCTGCAAGAGCAGTCAGTAATCTTAAACTCTGAGTCACCTCTCAAGCCTTGAAGTTTTATTTTTTGTGTGTGTGTATGCGCGTGTGTGTGTTTACCTTTGTTGATAATTTTTCCCTGTGGCTTAGGTTTATAGGGCTAGGCATATGTCTGAGGCTAAATGACTCTGGGTATACGGCATTGGTATAGGCTCAGGGTCTGCACAAGAGACAATATAAAGGCTGTCTGAGGGACATGTGCCTGGCTGAAGTGCCTGTCTGGACACGGAGTTAGAGAACACAGGCATTAGCCGCTCCATCATATGTTCCTGTATTTCTGCAAGTTTGTTACAGGCTACATTGAATATATTCACTGTTGTCCATAGCTCAGACATCCTTCTGTCCGGCTGGCTGTGTTGTCATCCTCAGAACTGAGTGAAAAGTCTCTGAGTTAAGTGAGGATTAAGCACAGAACACTGAGGCAAAGAGCACACTGTAGAATACCTTTTGGAGGCAGGCTAGTCGGTAGCTGGACGGAGACTATAAAGCTGCAAGAATCTATAGCCACTCCAATCACTCATACCATTCAGATAATTTCCCTTCTTTCCATAGGGTTTCTGAGGGGAAATAAGGTGTTATGATAAAAATACTATTGGATTTATTTTTGGAAAATATAATACCAAGATTTATTTATTTATTTTTTTTTAGATGAGGTCTCATGTATCTGAGACTGGCCTCAAACTGACTATATAGCTAAGGGTGACTTTGAACCTCAGATCCTTCTGCCTCTACCTCTTGGATTGCAGGTCTACACTACCAGCTCTGGCTTTTCAGTGGTGGGAATTGAACCCAGGTCCTTGAGTGTGGTAGGCAAACGCTCTACCAATTGAACTATGTCCCCAACCATCATAAATCTATAGTTTTTATTTCAAAATCTCTTAGTTGACAAACCATTGCACTCTCCTGAATACCTCCATTGCTTTATATCATGTTTTCTAAAGTAATTTCTCCTGGTTTGCCTGTGTCAACACAAAAGGCCAAGCTCACAATGCTCAAAGCTATGATAACTAACAGTCCTTCTGACTCCCAAGGTCTTCATTTCCTTCCACTCTCCAGAGAGCCTGAAAGCAAAACACAGCAGCCACCCCGGGACGGCCAAGATGGCTGACACCACTACTCTGGGCCCTCCAGCACCGAGCCAGGGTCCTATTACCCCGCGCAAAGGTCCCCCCAAGTTCAAACAGAGACAGACCCGGCAGTTCAAGAGCAAGCCTCCTAAGAAAGGCGTGAAAGGGTAAGTGTGAGGTGAGAAATAAGGGGCCTGTCGCCTTCCGTTCCCACAGATGGCTTTAGTCCTGAGAACGTACTGATGGTGCTATCACACAGACTCACAGAACCCCCCACCTCGCCCTCTATTATCCTCTCTAGCCCATCTGTGTTGAATCCTGTCGGTGTTCCCTTGTAACACCCCCAGGAGAATGGCCAGTTTCAAAAGGAAACTAGAGGTTTTCATAATGACCTTGGATTTGACCTTCCAGATTTTTCTTGTCCAGTCTTTTTAAAAAATAATTTTAAAAAACTTACTTCATTTTAATTATATTTATATGTGGTATGTCTCTTGTGGGTATATGCGTTTGAGCACAGGTTCCAGAAGAGGCCAGAGGAGGGCGTTGGATTCTCAGAACTGAAATTACAGGCTATCGGGAGCGCCCAAGTGGGAAACTGAGTCCTCTACAAGAGCAGCAAGCGCTCTTAACAGTTGCGCCATCTCTGCAGCTCTCTCTCTGTGTTCTTTTACGCAGACAGACCCTGTGCTTTAACCTGGAAATCTGAACTGTTAGTCATTTCGAAGGAACACTAGGTTTTGTCTTGTTTCTGCTGTTGTTGACTTTTTGGTTCATCGTCATGTCTTATTTCTTCTGTCCTCTGTTTTTCTCTATTGCTATTTGGAAAAAAATGTATTCCCAGCACACTCCTCAGAGGTTCATTTATCTTTTACTGCTACTTAAATTTCATCATCACTTCTGTGTTTATATTAGCATGCCTTCAGCCATCGTAACTTGTGCTAGTTTACGTTATATTTATTTATTTATATCTACACTTGGACCAAGATCACTGAGAGAAAATTTGGTTTTTCTTTTATTTTCTGTGCCTAATGCGATGCCCAGGGTTAATTAAGATTAATTAAATATTGATATCTTACTGCTTAATCATCTCTATATTTAAGAAATGAAGATTGAGGGTTGTCAGGATGGTATTGTGGGTAAAGGTACTTCCTAGGTCATCCAAGTGTTCAAAGTTCAATCCCTAGAGCTCACCCACATAAAGGTGAAAGGAGAGAACTGACATCACAAGGTTGTCATGTGACCTCTACATGCACACCATGGTGTTTGAACAGGCACGCGGACAGACCCAGATATAGACAGACAGATACACAGACAAATGCACAGACAGACAGATACACACACAGAGACAGACAGGCATACAGGCACACACACAGACACACAGACAGACAAACACACAGAGGCAGACAGACACACAGACAGACAGATACATACAGAGAGACAGACATAGAGGCACACAGACAGACAGGCACAGACAGACAGACACACAATCTTTAAATGAAACTGGGGGGGTCAGTTATAGAGTACTTATCTGGCCTGTAGGGAGCCCTCTTTTCAGCTCCCAGCACTGCATAAAGTGGGTGTGAACTCATTCCTGTAATCCCAGAACTCTGGGAATGAAGAAGAATCAATAATTCAGGTTCAAGGCCACCCTCTTGTGTTATGCTATGTCTCAAGTACACCCACTCCCCAGTAAGGATATACTGAGCTAGATCCTGGATCTAGTTCAATGTGGATGAAAGTTTCTCAGATAAAACATTTAGGACTTCTTTTCCTTTGAGTGAAAAAACCTTCCCAGGGGTAACCTCAGGGTCCTTCACCTCTGGCCTCAGCTAATGTCTGCTTTATCCATCTGTTTTTTGCGTAGGTTTGGAGATGACATCCCAGGCATGGAGGGGCTAGGAACAGGTGAGCTCTGACACCTTGAAGTGAGCATGCTGCTTTGAAGTTTCCTCTTTGCAGAAACTTCAAGATTTAAGGGACGGTTTAGAGTTACAACACCCACAACCTGGGATCCTTTGGAGACAGATAGGTGGGGATTTAACTTAACCTTTTAAGTATGTGTCTGCTACATGCAGACATGCAAAGAGACCAAAGTGTGAGGTCTAATGTTGTTTTATTAACAGCCTTTGAGGACCTGCTGCAGTCGGCTGTAGGGTTGTGAGATGTAAGATTCATAGAGTTGATCCATTCCAACTCCACTTTGCAGAAGAGGAATCTCAGGCAGACTGAGTGGCAGTGTGAAGCCACAGTCTGCGGAATTGGAAAATGTGGCAGAGTCTAGAGAGCCCTTGCAGTCTGTCTGGAAACCCACTCCTAACCAAGTTCCTCTTCTTCACATCCCACAGTACAGGGATACACATGGCATCAGGAAGGGGGTACACATAGCAGAAGGAACAGGGGTGCACACAGCAACAGGAACAGGGGTGCACACAGCAACAGGAACAGGGGTACACACAGCAACAGAAACATGGGTACACATGGCATCAGGAAGAGGGGTGCACATGGCATCAGGAACAGGGGTATACATGGCATCAGAAACGGGGTGCACATGGCATCAGACAGGAGTGCACACAGCAACAGGAACAAGGGTTCACATAGCATCAGGAACAAGAGTACACATAGCACCAGGAACAGGGGCACACATCGCACCAGGAACGGGAGTACACATAGCACTAGGATGTGGGTGCACACAGCACCAAGAACAGGGCTGCACACACTGAGTGTATCTGATGCAAATCCTTTTAGTTGGCTGGACTGTTTTCCTTCATTAGATACTGACTGCAGTTGCTATAGGTGTCCTTAAAAAAATTAACACTTATTTTTAAAAGAAGTTTTAGATTGCAGAAGACTTTCGCAGCAGGGTCAGAGAACTCATACCACCATCACTCCTGTTTTCCCAGAAATGAACATAATGCATGAGTCTGGCACATTTGCCGAGTGTGATGAGCTGCTGTCAATCATTCTCGATGTCTTGACGAAAGTCCTTAGCACATCTAGCTTGAGGCTTATTGGTGCCATATGGCTCTAAGGCTTCTAGTGAACGTGTCAGGTTGCATAACTGTCATCATTGTGTCGCATAGACTGGTTTCATTGTTCCACACATTTCCTCACCTCTACTGGGGAATGGCTTCCTTCCCCAACTGTACTCCTCTGGACACCGCAGGCTTGTTTTAAACTGGGTATTACCGTTACGTTTTCTGAAATGTTACTGAGTTAGAATTATACAGTATATTAGCTTTCCTGTCCTAGTTTCTTCAATTTGGCAATATTTATTCATGTGTCTTCTGTATTCTAATGGTTCAATAGCTCCTTATTTTTTTCATTTTATGTGTATGCTTACTTGTCTGCGTTAATGCCTGTGTGTGCCCAGTCTTAGTGGAAGCCAAAAGAGGGCATCAGATCCTCTGGAACCGGAGTCAAAGATGGTTGTGAGACATTGTTTGGGTGCTGAGAGCTGAACCCAAGACCTCTGCAAGAGCAGCTGGTGCTCTTAACAACTGAATTATCTCTTCACCTCTAATCGCTTCTGATAATAACATTTTATTTTATGAGTGTATTCTATTGAAGAAATCTTGATTTCTTTCAGGTATTAACACTAATGACTAAAATGGCTCTGTGTTCATGTTTGAGCTCACGTGTGTGTGTGTGCATAGTCAGGGTTTTTGGTGGATGTAAGTTTTGAACTACACCAGATACATGGTACCAATCACTGGAACCAGTGCATTCAACTTTGTAGACACATGTGACCCTGGATCTTAAGTAGGTCCTATGCTATTTTTTAAAGCTTACTTGTTGCTCTTAGATTATTTTTGTATTATGTTCAGGTAAATTTAGACATGCACAGGAGGATAGGTAAATTCCCCGCTGGAAAGAGGCAAAGAGATTCCCACTGGGGCAAGGCCTGGGGTCTTTGCCCTGGGTTGAGCCCCATCTATGTAAGTGTACTTTTTGGCTAGAGCCAGCTTCTCTGGAAACAGGAGAAATGCCATCTTCCCCGAACCAGAGACATGACTAGATGATGCTCTGAGGTTGTTTCTCTGTACATGTTGATGCAGACATCTGGAAACATAAAGAGCAACCGTGAGAAGCTTGCCTGAGAAGCTCACCTCGGATTAGTGAAAAGAGTCCATCCAGACCATGGGAACTTAGAAGGGTCCCACTTCTCATTTCAATCCTTGACCTGATGAGAATTCCATCTATGCTCCTCTTGGTGGCTCAGCTTTTGGGAGATGCAGTGAGCTTTCATCTCCTTCCTAAAGAGAGTACAAAATGAACCCAATACCCAGGTGTATGTGTGCATGCGTGTAACACTTATGTGACTGCTTGCATCCTTCTTGGCTATGGGGCCATCCTACACACCTTCCCAGGAATGGAGGGGTGTGTGCGTAGCTGTTTGGAGGCTGTCTTTTCTTTTTGTAGGAAGGGCTCCTCCTCTGGGTGAGGGCTTGGCTGAGATATTCTCCTGTCTCTTGCAGACATCACAGTGATCTGTCCCTGGGAAGCATTCAGCCACCTGGAACTGCATGAACTCGCTCAGTTCGGGATTATATGAAGAGTCCAGAGGCTCAGCTTCTCTCAAGAGCATCTGCTATGGATGTTTTTACATCTTGAGAGCCAGTATTTGGAAGAAATTTCTTTGACATATATGGTCATTACCCATGAGTTACTGTGTGTGTTCTTTCTTGCAGGGCAGTTCAGTTTCAAGGGTTAAAAAAAGAGGCATTTGTTGGGGCATTTTGAATTTTATAATTTCCCTACCTGATGCTTCAAAGTCATCCACATTTCTCTATATTTTGTTTAAATGTAGGTTCGACACTCATTATATTAGCAGTAGGATTATAGGATAACATTAATAGATTTGAAAGGCTCTGGTAGGAGGATTGGTACAGGTCAGCCTGGGCTACATAGTGAGTTCCAGGCTAGCTTGAGCTACAGTGTGAGATGAACTTTCAATATATATATGATGTAGTAGTACCTGGGGGTGATCTGAGCAAACATCTCCAATTCTCCTAGGGCATCAGGGCATCAGTGCCATAAGAAATAATTCCACTCGAGTTGAATTTATTTAATTGGAAGCTTTAATTGTGATTCCTTCTAGGACCCTGAGCAAGGGCCTTTTTCCTGGAGCAGAAGCAACTTACAGGAAATCACACCACTGTGGAGTGGTGCCACCTTCTCCCGTTGAAAATGTTAACTGCTTATAGATCATGGAGAGGGGCGAGGCCTCGTGTGCCCCTTTCTGATTCAGCAGTCACTGTATTAACCACTGCAAGCAAAGATCGAAAGGGGGCGTGGCACCTACAGGAAGTAGGTGCAGGGTTTACGAAAGGGCCTAGTCTTAAGAGTCAAGCAGTAATTCTGCTTTGCAAATGGGGGGGGGGGGATCACATACTTTAATTGAATCATGTTACCTTAGGGGCTTCCTGCTGCTCTCAGTCTGGAAGACTGAAGATTTAAACTCACAACCCTGACCATGCGAGCTTCCATTCCAGGGCTCTGTTTCCAGAGAGTTCCCTTTCATACCGTCCTTGGTCAGCATTATTCCACACAGTGGCTTGAGCTGAGAGTCACCGGCTATTCAAACATCCACCAACCACCTTCTGTAACAAACCACTCAGAAATCACCAGTGCGAAGAGTCCCTGTGCTGTGAAGTTAGACTCAGATGCAGAAGCTGTGTCTCCCCCCACAGTTGTGTCAAATGCAGTGTGCACATAGCTGTCTTTCCACAACACCTTTGAGGAATTGTGCAATGTGAACACAGCCTCTGGCTTTGTGCTTTGGTTCTGAGAGAGTCCATTTCTTCATTGCAGTTTTGTAATCTGTGGTAAAAGAATGGAGCAAACTAACTGAAAAGAGAAGGGAAGGATAGGAAGAAAAGGCCAGACCTCTGTCCCGGCTCAGACACTAAATCGCTTTGTACTTCTGGGTGTAAAACTCACCCTGTGGACCCTCCAGTTTGTCTCAGTTCCATCATTTGAGGGTCACAGTAGTGGTAAAATCGACACCTCAGCATGAAAAGGAGGGGGCTCCGCCCTCAGGAGATTGTCTTCTGCAGCAGGCTCCATGCTAATTATTTCGTACTTACCAAATGATCTTCTAACAATAAAGCCAGACAGAGAAGAGAGAAGGCAAAAGATAAACTGGAAAGCAGAAGTGTTTAATGAAGGGGCCGTGGGGGTGGGAGCTTCTACCTTCAGCAGGAACCCCCCCCTCCCCTCCCCTTCTTCCCTCCAGACACTTTGAGTTGCTTTGGCATCTGACAGCAGCCCCTTGGTCTGCCCCTCCAGCTGTGGTGTCTTTGAGGCAGGGAGGTCTAACCCACCAGCCTTGTGAGGCCCTGGTCCACACTTTGTTTACTTTGTAGATGAGGTTTTTTTTTTCTTCTAAAGATGAAACAGTAATGTCGACCAAACCGCCTGCAGCACAGGGTCTGGGTTAGCCGCTTCTCTTCAAGTGGTGCCCAAACACCTGAGAAAAGACTTTGAAGGGATTCTACATCTTGTTCCACAATTTTAGAGAAGTCAGTCCGTGGTGGTGGGGCAGCTCACACCTTCAAGGCAATTGGGAAGCAAAGGGAGAGGTGGGATACAGGAAGATGTAGACCCCAAGGGCACCCCACTGACTCACTTCCTCCAATTAGAACCCACCCCCACTTTCAGCATCTCTGGGTACACTATCAGATTATGATTTTATCAAGGGACTGAGCGGTTCACTATCTCAGACCTACATGATGTGTGTCTCAGGCGACACTCTTGCCGACACACCCAGATATATGCCTTCCTAATTCCCTAGCTATCTCTCGGCTAGTCAAGAAAGATAGTCAACCAACCATCACACAGATGTGTCCAACAGCCAGGGTGGAGAAGGCTCAGAACAATGCTATAGGAGGGCCTGGGGGGAAGGAACCAATAACACAGAGCCTCAATCAGAAACTGGTAAGAACCAGCAAATGTTTGTGGAGTTGTAACAGAATAGCCTAGTACACAGGAGGCCGGCACTGAGTGGTGAGCTGGAGCCGATCGAGTCTGCAGTCCATCTGTCTTAGCCAGGGTTTCTATTGCTGCAGTGAAGGATCATGACCAAAGAGCAAGTAGGGCAGGGAAGGGTTTATTTAGCTTTCAATTCCACATTATAATCCATCATTGAGGGAAGCCAGGATAGGAACTCAAACAGGGCAGCAACCTGGAGGCAGGAGCTGATGCAGAGGCCGTGGAGGAGTACTGCTTACTGGCTTGCTCCCCATGGCTTGCTCAGCCTGCTTTCTTATAGTATCCAGGACCACCAGGCCAGGGAAGGCACCACCCACAATGGAATGAGCCTCCTCCCATCAATCACTACAGGCTTGCCTTCATCCCTGTCTTACAGAGGCATTTTTTTTTTTTACTGAGGCTCCGCAACCCCATCAGTTGCTTTTAGCCTGTGTCGAGTTGACATAAAATTATACAATACGCTGTGCAAACTCAAGTTCCTTTGTTTCTAGTCTTAAACTCCCATTCTATCATTTTCAGGAATATTTTATTGTATAAACAGCAAATATGAAAGCTATAAAATACATTGTCTCAGAGTTAGGGCAGCAGAGGTGCCAAATTCAGAGGGTAACTCGGCAGATTGAAGAAAGGGACTGAGTTGGGGATGGGGTAATGACTCAGTGATCCGGTATTTGCTGCTTTAGCAGAGGAATCCAGTTCAGTTCCCGACACCTATGTTGGGAAGCTCACAATTGATTGTAACTCCAGCTCAACAGATCTGATGCCCTCTTCGGGTCTCTGAGAACTGCCTCACACAACACACATAATAAATAAGATAAATAGATCAATAAATAAATATAAAATAAATCTATTTTTAAGGGGGGGGGACTGGAAGTAAAGGCCAGCACAAAAGCTTGGGCACAGCAACTGTGAATACTGGGGTTGACAGAGAGCTGAGAAAGCAGCTGTAACCAGCAGACAAGACATGCATCATGGGATGTCTCAGAGTGAAGATTCCATTCACTCCTACGATCCTCTGAGGGGCGGAGGAGATAACAAGATGCAGTTTGCACACACACTTTCTTTTTTTTTAGCAATAGCTAACTTTATTCAGAACACCAGAAAATTTCTACCCTGAGGGTTAAGAAGGTCACACAAGTAAAGCTCTCGGGAGTTCAAGCTGTATATAATCACAAGGACAAGTTGCACATGGCAAAACCACGTTTTTCCATAAAGTCAAATAAACAAATAACAGTCAGTGGTAATGAATAATCTGAAGTGAACTCACTCCCGTCCACTACACCTGGGAGGCACTGACACACATTTCAAGAATAATTTTGGGTTTTTGAAGAAACTGAGGTCACAAGACTCTTGTCTAGTTTTCTTAGAGTTTTCTCATAGGACTTCATTCTTGGGCCGTGTTTCGACAAAGGCCTGTTTTGGTCCACACTAGCTTCTAGAACCAAAGCAGAGGTCATACAATAAAAAGTTCCAGTCCTAGGGGCTACAGAGTTGGCCCAGTGGTTAAGAGCACTTGTTGCTGTTGCAGGACCCAAGTTCGATTCCCAGCATCTACAACCGTTTGTAATGTCGGCTCCAGGGGTCTACTGTTCTCTTCTGGTCTCCAGTGGCACCAGGCATGCAAGTGGTGCTTAGATACATACATGTGGGCAAACCACCCCATACACATAAAACAAAATAAAATATTCCAAATCCCAATTCAGTCAACAAAGAACTCCAGGTAGCCTTCATTTGGCTTCTCCAGCTTTGGTGTCCCCATTTCTTCTTTGTCTGTATGACCCAGCTTGACTCTGGCAGACCCACTGGTGTTGGACACCACATCCATCTCCACCTCCACACATCGGTAGTCCTCACAGCCACGGCCGTCCACCTGAAGGTCTTCCTGCACTCCATGAACAAAGTAGACCTTCTCAGCCTCGCTCAGCACCACCGACGCCATGCCGCTCCGCTCACTGTGCGCCAGCACACACTTTCCAGCCTGTTCCTGAGATTGCATGGAAATGGAAGTTAGTTGAACCTATAACCAGACATTGCCACCTCCCCTAGACCCCAAGAGTAGCACAGACAGACAGAAAGCTGGCATGGAAGAAATGCTTTGCCCCTGCTGCGGAGCTGGGCCTCTGCTGTGAGCACAGAGGGAAAAACCCCTTATGCTGAAGGAAGGAAGGAGAGTGTTCTCTGGACAACAAAAGAAGGGAGGTGGGATTGGCGGGCCAGACCAACGTGTAGCCCAAGAGAAATGAAAAGTTACCCAGAAGGAACACAAACTAACATGTCATGTGTGACATGAGCAGTTGTTAAAGCAAAACAAAGCAGGACTTGTGTTCTGTAAAAGCCCACTGGGCAAATGGACTGTCAGAATTGGAGCTAAACTAGTGAATTGTTTTTGAAGCCCCAAGCTCTTCATCCTTCTTAGCTCCATGAGGCAGAGGGGGGAGATGAAAAGTTATTGATTCTCTGTGTGTGTTGGGGGCAGTGGGAGCTTTGTAGCCCTGGCCTGGAACTGACTCCCTATCCCAGATTAGCCTTGAACTTGTGGCAATTCTCCTGCCTCGTCTTCCC